TTTCCGAAGATAGCGTGAAGGTCCTTCATGAGGAGCATCTGCTCTTCCTTATCGCGTTGGAGTTGCTCTTCTAAACGACGGGCCTGTTCCTCCTGTCGGCGGGCCTGTTCCTCCTGTCCGCCCCGCAGCTGCTCTTCCAATCGGCGGGCCTGTTCCTCCTGTCGGCGAGCCTGCTCCTCCTGTCGGCGAGCCTGCTCCTCCTGTCGGCGAGCCTGCTCCTGCAGCATCACCATCAGAGCACCTAAGTCAGGTGCTGCAGATGTAGGAGCTACCGACGGGCCTTCAGCCGGTGGCTGGCCCTCCGACGTCTGCGGCGTTGCACCACCAAATCTTCGTTGGTCCGTCTCCTGCTGGCGTTGACTTAGGGTTCGGACACCCTCCGTTTCCTCCTTAGGTAAAATCGGCATGATTTTATCCCACTTCTGACACCAATTGTTACGAGCTTGAGGTTCGTGACAATAAAAATTGCCGATAAAATTACCTAAATTAACACTTTAATTTACTTTACACAATTAAAGTTAAAACACTAATAATTTAAACACACTAATTCACTTAATTCCACTCCGAAGCTTCGCTTGTTTCGCCCAAATCAACACTGCCTCGATCGCATCTTGCAGCGCCTATATATTTAAATTAGCAAAGAAATATCCAGAATGTTCAAGTAAACACGGGCAAGGTATCGAGCGTTCGAGTTTCGACTAGGCGCTGTCAGTTGAGCGATTTGTGATGTCATTTTCTCAATGCTCCCCTCGCTCTCGTTCCTGACACTAGATGGCGCTAGTTGACTTATTCGTGCAACATTATTACAAAAGACAAGTATAGGTATGTAAGTAAATACTTGGATAGTGAAGTAAATTTTAACTAATTTTTGTAATGAAGTACTTAGGTATTTCTTCTGTAGACCAAATTATTACTTAATTCTTTTTTGCTGTGAGTATTCATAACTTCTTCTAAAATTCTTCGGTGACTTATAGAATGATATGAAACCTTTTGTTGGACATTTCATTTAGCATCCATCTAAGCAACAGTTATAGTAGGAACGACGTTTTGCTATTATAATTTATCAAATAGGTAATATACATATTATATAATTTTGAAAATAAATTAAAACTTTTACAACTATTTTTACCTACAATTAAATATATTAAACACTACTACTACACTATTTCAACAAGTATTTACATAAAACTATTTACGTAAACAGCGTTAAAAAACTCTAACATTCAATTGCCTCCAACGCGCTAGACCTGACGTTATTTCACCCGGGCGCGTCGCGATTTTAGGTAATTATTTCACGCAGGTAGCAAGAGTGATAGAGGCCTGCTAGAGCTCTCGCTTTGTCCGTTTGTATGAAGTTGGAATACTGTATAGATAAAATTACCGTGACTTGGCGCCACTTCACCATATGATCCAGATATGCAAATAAACATTGTTAATAGGGTTGCCATTAAAGCTGAGAATGTTTTTATCTTAGTTATCTTTGTCTTCGTTGGTTGTTGAGATTTGATCTTATCTTTTTGAAGCTTTTCATCTTGTTGGTTGCATATGGTAGTTTGGAATTTTTACGATGGGACCCTTGATGATACCAGTTGATGTTTTTAAAGTAGTTACTCTTACGTAACCGTCAGAACCGGGATGGGTTTCAAGTACACGAACCATGGCTCATTTTCCTGGCAGCAAGTTGTTGCCTTTGACCAGCACAATATCGCCTTCTTTGATATTCTTAGTTGAATCGTTCCATTTACTTCGGCCTTGTAGTTGAGTCAAATATTCATTAGACCAATTATTCCAAAACTGTTGTAACATATTTTTAGTCAGTTGCCATCGCCGACATAAGTTAATGTCTGTGTCTTCATTGTAGTCCGAGATCAGTAGAGACATCACAGTTAAGTTAGGTTGCAATCAATTATTGTTTTAAGTAATAATAACTGATACTTAATCGAACTTATGGCCGCTGGCCTGGATACCAGGACATGTTTTGAAAGTATTTATTGATATTGCTCAAAAAAGAAAATCTTATCCAAACTTTAAGATTTAACACTCATAGCTTTGATGTAAAATTGTTTTGAAGTTCCAAAAGAGAATGTTGAAAATCGATTTTGCTTAAAAACTTTAAGTGATAAATAAAGTGTAAAGAACTTCTTTGTCTATAATTTCAGCTCAAAAAGGTTTTGCTTGAAAAATATTTAATATCTCTTTTAGTACCTATATGAGAAAATCATCAAAACCATTTATTATAGTTGTTTTTTGATAAAAAAAAAATCGTTCTACCATTGAGTGAATACTACCGAAAATACCTAATAGGGTAATAGATAATACTATACTTATAGTACTACAAAGTTGTTAATTTGTTTTAATTATATTAATAGTAGGCTCCTTTGACTAATGACTTCGTTTGAGTACCTAATTATAAAATACCAAACTTACTTATTTATGGTACAGTCGTACTAGTATTTATATCGTTTATTAATATTTAGTATTACTGTATACACGTATTTAATTAAAAAAAATAGTTGAATCGAAAGTAATGGATGGCGACTTAAAAAATGCATCCCGTTTTCTATTCCCAGACATGTTGTCTGCTCCGTCGTCTTCGCTCCTCGTAATGTCGAAACTCTTGAAGGCCTTCGTTAAAAACATCCTTCGGTCAATCCTTCTCAGAATTTACCGCTGCCTCCCAATACTTCTATGCAACCAAAATCGGTCGGTCGGTCGGGTCGCAAAATCGACAAGGAGAGGTGGGACGCCACAGTCCAGGGTTCATTACGGGAGAAGAAAGGGCTCTTCAAGACGTGGCAAGCGCCCAAATCTCCTGAAGATCGCGTATCTTACAAGACAGCGAAAAGAGCTGCCAAGAAAGCTGTAGCCAGAGCCAGGCGTGACCACTTGCAACCCTTATATGCTAAGTTGGACACTCCTTAGGGGCACAAGCTCATATATAAACTGACGCGCTCTAGGGCCAAAGCAGCGCAAGATATTACTCGCTGCTGCAGCGTCAACGGCCCTAATGGCGAGCTCCTGTACGATGATCGTGCGGTGAAGGAGAGATGGCGCTCTTATTTCCACGTTTTGCTGAATACTCAGCACCGGGAAGTGCACCCTCCCGAACTATTCCCGAACCATGGACTCGTGCCACCGATTACGCCTGACGAGGTCCTCGCATCTCTTCGTCACATGGAGAATCGGAAAGCTGTCGGACCGGACGAGGTGCCAATTGAAGCGTGGAAATCGCTGGGGGCTCGTGGTGTGTGCATTCTTACTAACCTTTATAATAGAATCCTGAGCGACCGAATAATGCCCGATCAGTGGCGGTTTAGTATAATAACGCCGGTCCACAAGGGTAAAGGGTCCGTTCAGGATTGCGGTAATTACCGCGGTATAAAGGTGACGTCACACACCACGAAGCTCTTCGAGCGCATTATTGATTCCAGGATCCGACAGGAGTGTACATTATCGGACTCCCAGTACGGCTTCCAACCAGGACGCGGTACCATGAACCCTATATTCGCCCTAAGGATCCTCATGGAGAAGCACAGGGTGTTACTGCCCCCAGGCTACCCTGACCATAGCCGATTGAACTAGGGCCCATGGTAGTCCAACTCGACGGGTAACAAAGGGGAGGGTCCAAGACCTATGGATAATTAAACTATAGCGGCTAACAAAGAAGCAAGCAACACTCACCGTTTGGCGGAGGTAGGGTTAACCACAGGAATAGTCAGGTGAAAGTGTGGTGATTGTGAGTTATGTTCAGTGTTCAATGTGTAACCTGACATCCCCGCTGGTGCTAGACAGCAGATCCAAAGGCGTCGCCTCTCTTCAAAGGTGGAATCCATCCAAGGGGCATTCAACAATGGAACACTTCAGCTTCTACTTTCACTATATTCGTTTATCACTTTATTGTACAATTAATTATCTTCAAGTTCAATCAAATCATGTTAATCGACGTTAAACAGAGACACGCGGTACAACTCAAGGACGGTGGGTCAAAGGTCAATGTCCCAGGCTCACTCAGCACAAAACTTATACCGCGTCTATGCAATTAATGGAATAAAAGGTCCTTTAATCACTACAAATTCCAAGTCGGTTCCGTCACGTAACAGGTTAAAATAGACACTAAATTCAGGGCGGTCTAGGTTATATTCTAATATTCAATAATAAATTCAAAATGGCGCGCTCAATTAACACAAGTCTTAGGCCTTCGAATTAACAGCTACCGCGCATAACCGTATGATTCACAAATAATACTTAACACGGTTACAAACAATTATCCAATATGGCCTCGTTATCCGGAAACTTACAAATATAAGACAACACAAGGAGACTATCAATGTATAATCGACCCGGGAATCATATCATTCTCACGACATCTAACTCGACCCGGGAGCGCCGGCGTTCAACTCGCGCGGACGCCGCTCTGGGAGGCCCGCGGCCGACCGGGTGCAGCCCGGCCTCGCCGCCGACCGTCCGGCTTCGCTGCTGACTGCCACTGCGCTGCGCGTACGATGCAGCTAGCCTCATCCTCCCGCACCTTGCTAACCGTTCCTTCACCCCGCTCGACTATTGGGTGCGAACACAGGGAAAAGAATATGCCTCTGCATTTTTTATTCCTAGACCTGCAGAAGGCCTTTGACTGTGTTCCTAGGGAGATGATCTGGTGGGCGTTGCGGTCGAAGTTGGTACCAGAGACCTACGTGGAAATCGTACGTGACATGTACCGCAACTCCGATTCAATAGTCTGGACCGCTGTTGGTGATACCACCCCCTTCCCCATAACCGTAGGCGTGCATCAGGGCTCCGTCTTAAGCCCCTATCTCTTCAGTCTGATATTAGACGAACTGTCAGCCAGCGTACAGAAACTACCGCAGCCTTGGCTGCTTATGTAAGCTGATGATATCGCACTGGTAGATGGGGACAAAGGACGGCTCACCAGACGCGTGCACGCATGGAGGGAGGCGCTTGAGAACGGCGGGCTGAAGCCAAACGTGGCAAAGACGGAGTATATGGCCTGCAACAGCACAGATCTGACGTCTCTCCGTTTAGGCGACGACACCGTCAAGCGCACGGACAACTTCAGGTACATAGGATCTGTGCTTGATGCGTCATCTGTGCTTGATGCATCCGGGAACATCGATCGCGACATCAAGGCCCGTATATCAGCGGCCTGGGCGAAATGGCGCGAGGTGACGGGTGTCATTTGTGACCCCAAAATGCCGGTCAAGCTGAAGGGACAGATCTATAAGACCATCATAAGGTCTGTCCTTACGTACGGCAGTGAGGCGTGGCCGGTGCTGGAGTGACACCGGCAGTTGTTGCATGTCACGGAGATGAACATGCTGCGGTGGATGTGTGCCGTCACGCGGAAAGACCATGTACGAAATACATACATCCGCGGCAGCCTCCATGTCCGTGACATTGCTGACAAGCTGCAGGAAAGTCGCCTCCGCTGGTACGGCCACATCTTACGACAACCGGCTAGCTACGTGGGAAACAAATGCCTGGACATGACCCTACCTGATACCAGGAGTAGAGGACGGCCCAAGAAACGCTGGCTTGATGTCGTGCAGGATAATATGCGCGCCAACGGGCTAGTTGCGAGGGACGCCAAAGACCGGGCAAAGTGGAGGAGGAAGTGTAGGAAAGCGGACCCTGGGTTCTCCCGCGTTGGGCGGGATGAGCAACCGGAATAAACGCTAGGTAGAATAAGAAGAAGACTCATATGGGGTAAGATTGTGTGCCTTCAAAAAAAAAGGATAACGGTATCCGTCCTATTGCTGTTGGTTCCACATTTCGACGTTTAACTTCAAAATTAGCTTGCAGGCACATAATTTTAAACCTTAAAACAAAATTTCAACTAGGCTTTGGCACCAAAAGTGGCTGTGAGGCGGCGGCGGTACATTTGGTGCCTGCTTAACAAATTATAATGCAGATGTTCTTCTGAAGGTTGACCTTAGAAATGCTTTTAACTCTATTGATAGGATAACCCTGCTGAAAGAAGTGGCTAACAATACCCCCCGAAATTTATCATTACGTTTGGCAATGTTACAAATTCGAACTTGTTTTATGTTTTCAGCAGGGTGACCCATTAGGTCCAGCTCTTTTCAATTTGGGAATTCAACCTATTATTTGAAATTTAAAATCCAAGCTGAATCTATGGTATCTGGACGACGGTACACTGGGAGGTAAAGTGGATGACGTCCTCAATGATCTTACTCATATTTTTCAAAATTTTAAAAATAATGTTCTTGAACCAAATTCCAATAAATGCGAAATATTTATTTCCAATAATTTTCCTAATTCTAACAGAGATACCTTAATTCAAAATTTCAATCAGATTTCTCCAGGAATAAAAACTTAATACGGAATCGCTTTACCTGCTCGGTGCTGCGTTGTTTTTCGATAGTATTAAATCTGTTTTAAAAACATAATTTGATCAATTTTTAAATCAGGTGATAAATTATATATATATTAAACCCCATATTGCCATTACTATTTTAAAATATTGTCTCCTTGTACCTAAATTCACATACTTATTACGCTTAAGTCCAGTCTGGAAATGTTCGGATATTTTAAAAGATATTGATAGTAATCTTTTCTTTCTCTCTTGAAAAAATTCTAAAGGGGATTGCCCACTCTTCATAGACACTTCGGCCATGGGGGCACCCATATAAAAGTATATAGATATGATAATATGCAATTAAAAGAATGAAATGATAAAGGAATTGCTTTAAAAAGACGGGATTTTAAAGATATATAAGTTTTTATTTTCACAAATACCGTTTTTTTAACAACTACTTTTATCAATTTTATCGCGTTTTATTTCTTTGATTTTTAATTCCAGACGTTTCGGGTGCTTTCTAGCACCCATGGTCACGGCGGACTGAGGTGACTGACGTCCCAATGTCAGTGTTAACCTGGAATATCTTCAGATTTTTAATTTTTATTTATGGTCCGATCTACAGAATGAACTTACTGTGTCTTGAAGTCTTGCAGTGGTATGCTTGGGTTTAGTTTTAATTTCATTAATTAAAGGGTCCCAAGCAGGTGGTAGTACCAAGCCTCCTTCTCTATTTAAATAAGGATTTTTTTTATTTCAATAGTCTCTATCTCTAATAATGAGAGAGTCTAATATATGAGAGACCACATTCACAATCAAGGGTATACACTCCTGCACCTTTTAGAAGAATATGACACTTGATTGATGGTAAGAACTCACTAATCTTCTTCAGAGGCTTGTAGAATGTTCTAATAGAAACTCGCTTCAAGTTGTAGCCGATCTAGTCTGTGACACCCCTGACATATGGTAGTACTGCACACGCTTGACTGTGGCCAGCTTCACTCGGTCACTGTGACGTAGGCGCGGGACGAGAAGCTTATTGACGTGCAGAACCTGCTTGACGTATTGAAGCTCGACAGCCAGATGTTTGCTGTCACAGATCCCTTGTGCTCTCTGTAACAAAGATTTGCTAACGGTAGCTAACTTGTGAAGGATGATGGTGAGATTCATTGTTTTCTATACACAGTGTGACCTATGGTGTTGTTAGGATTTTGGATGACTAACGCATCTAGGAAAGCTAAGGAATTATTTGCCTCTAATTTATACATCAATACATCATCAAGGAACTGAGCATGAGGCAAAATATAAGTTTGATGCCGTGCTCAACCCAAATACCATGTTAATGTCATAACAGGGGCACAGCATCATACTGTTCGACGGCCGACAATACAATTGCAACAATACTTTTTAAATGCACTTCTACCAGAACCATTGCCACTAATTAAAATATATATAAAATATACTTTACGACACTAAGTAAAGATCAGCTAGGGCTAAAGTTTATTCCTTCCAAAATGCTGCTCCTGTGGTTATTACAGAGTTCTATCCGGTAGCAACAATTAAATCTTATATGCTCACCATAATAGGAGTGAGCTTGCTTTAATTGGTATGTGCCACAGCAATTAATATTAAGTCGTTAAAACAGGAAATTCCCTAACATTTTTAGTATACATTTATATTTCTAAAGTCTGCCCTAGCTCTATTTAGATTGCTTTCCCTAGCATACTCAGAAAAATCATTAATTGTCTCCATATTTTGGTGAACTATTTCAAGTATTTAAGCCGCATCATCCCTGTCCCTTATTTTTGTGTGGAATTTATTAATTAGAGCAGCAGCCACTCTGTCATCAAATGTGTAGAAGCCCTGTTAAAGTAATTTTGGCGAAATATTTTAAATTCAGTTTTAAAAATGCCATTCACCACCTTTACTACCCATATCAGCACAGTCACGGCTCTGGACTTAACAGCATATCTTGTCATTAACTGAGATTCACCATCTGCTGGAGACAACAGTACCCGACAAACTCCATTTGGAATGAGAAGATTTCTTACATCTATTTCTGCTTGGGATATATGATTTGTGTCTACATTCACAGAAACAAAAAACTTATTTAATATTTCACAGGCCATATTCATGAGCAGCTCTAATGTACTTCTTGGAACTTGCATGGAACTTGCTTGTTCGTCACTATCTATTATATTTACTTGACAGTCTCAGAACTTCAGACAGAATTTGTAGCCAGATAATAATGTATATTTCTTTTTCACTTATACTCTGTTAGTTAATATTATTATTATAGGGTATTCATAAAGTATTCCCATCTCTCATTATTATTTATTGTTACCAATTTAATATTTCTTTGTGGATAACGGTGCTGGTTACATAAGGACTAAGACTAATGTTATTTATAAATAGTTATTTGGTTTAAGCATTATTATGTAATTGTTTGTTGTCCTGAATAAAAAAAGTATAGTATGCTCAGGCATACTCTGAATATTTTCAGTCTATATGATGTGCATATTATCTTTCTATAATGTAGCAAAATCTGCAATTTGTGCTGCACTAAATGTTTTAATAGGATTTTGTTGACTCTAAAAGTACATTGCAAGAGTTACCATTTAAATGGTAATTACATATTCTATATTCTAGAGGTAAGTACATTGTTTTTTTATAGGATAGGGTGACAAACGAGCATACCGTCCACCTGATGGTAAGTGGTTGCTGTGGCCCATAGACATCTACATCTAAGCTCGATTATAAATCAAAATGCAGACGCGTTGTCACCCGTGAGGAATAAGATGGAATGCCTCGTTTCCAGTAAAAAGTCGCTGGTTCTATACACTCACCATATGAAACACAGCAGCATTAAGCTACTATTTCACGCTGATATTCAGTGAGAGTGTGGTCTTCCCTGGTCGAGCCGACCCATTTGTGCTACAACTATACTACTAATATAACTGCAGCATGGCTCTACCACGAATAACATACATACATAGTAATTGCAATCGCAAAAGAGACGTACCCGCAATGCTGATGGAACAGTGAGTCGATTGGAATTACTACAACCAGGTAAAAAACATTGATTTGGTGTTTTTACATAATTAGTTAGCGGTATACTGTGTGATTATCTGTTGATCTAAGCTTTGTTGTTCTGGGTGCAATACATTACTCACTTCAGATTGCTATGAGGATGAACTAGATGATTCAGATGGTTCCCATTCTGCAGTTGAATGTGATGCTGTTCTATCAGTCCTTTGCCAGCAATTATGATAAACACAAGATGACCATGACAACTGAAATAATGTTAAATACAAAAAATTAAGTCAAAGTGAAAAAAAGAGATTTGTTTGATTTTAAACTCAAATTAAATAAATTATTTATCAAGTTAAATGTTACCGCACAAAGACAGACTTAATGCTTTATATTATTTAATAATTAAGGCCTGACAGACTACCAGAAGTCCAAAAACAATGATAAATCAACTGACTCATTTCTTGGTACTTAGTTGATAAAAATGGTCAATCTGGTATATAAGCTAGTATGTTTGTCAGACACAGCTTATGCAGATGTGAAAAAATAAAACAAGTTCTTAAGTTGACATGCAGTGGAAACAATAAAATATTTAGGGGTGGTTGTCGACCACAATCTATCGTTCAGTCCACATATCACAAATCTGGCTGCTCGAGTTCGAAAACTTATCTATGTATTCAAACTAATACGCAACAGTGCTAACATAAATATTCTCAAAATGTTATACCATGCAATGTGCCAGTCCATTGTACAATACTGTATTACGGCATGGGGAGGTGCTGCAAAAACTCACATGATAAGAATAGAGAGATCTCAACGAGCTTTGCTCAAAACCATGCTTAAAAAACCAGTGCGATTTCCTACCAGAGAGGTATTCAACTTATCTCGTGTGTTATCTGTTCGCCAGTTGTATATATTAAAAGTAGTAAAGAG